GCCGAAATGATATGAAGGTAGCGCAGGAATCGTGGAATCGGGTAGATCGTAGGAGCTGCGACAGAGTTCACCAAGATCAGCAGTAGAATCTGCACTATGGCAGATCGCAGCGAAATCGGCACAAGCATTGTCGATATCATGAATCCCACCAGAATCTGTGACAAGCAAGACCATGTGGCAGATTCTGCAGAGATCGGTAGCAAGGATGTCCATATGACAATTCACACACAAGAGGGACTGAGCTCAGTGACATGCAGACAGTTACCACTCAGGGGCCCACAAGACAGGAGTAAAAGAGAACTGTTGCTGGTCAGAGGAAGGAGAGCTGTGTAAAGGACACTGGTGAGAGGGACATGAAGAGGAGGAGCAGTGTCGATGAAGTCAACACAGCTCAGGAAAGACAGGAGGGTCAAGGCTGGACCTGGAGGAGGTGTCTCCTGGGAGATCCCTGTGCAGTACTCGATGAAGAAGGAACTCTCTGGAGAAAAGGGAGCAGGAGCAGTGTCACTGGCAATGCTGCGAAGAGGTATATAGTCATACCTCCTTGTCACAAATGGTCAAGTGGATCCTCATCCACTCTACTCATCAAACAAACTAGTATTACTTCAAGCAATAAGTATCATTAGTTCACAGTCAGCATAGTAGTAATCAACAGATTGCTCTTCATCAAAGTGCATGTGTGGTATCACCGTTTCCTGATGTCCAAAGGTGGTTCATAGCAAACCAGCAGTCCAGATAACAATAGAACTGAAGGCAGATGGCCACTGTGGCCTGGGGATCACTTCAAGCATTAGCCAACACACTGGACACTCATGTTGGCATCATCAATCCATACTCACACCAGACCATTGGTGTCAACATCAAGCTCACTTAGAGTCATATCATAGTCTGATCGTGCCGAGCTACCTCTGGATGGAGTGTCCACAGTGGTTAGTCGAAATCTGTCATAACAATAATACAACTACAGATTCTAATGAGAAAGGTGACAGAAAAGGCTCTGTCGCATATTTCACTAAGAATTGAAATACCATTAGTGCTGTCACATAATTCGACAGAACTGGTGATAGTACTGATACTGCTACTGATCTCAGGTTTCAGGCACATGACTGCTGACATTAGAGTGGATCGTTCAAGCAGCACCCCACAATCGCGATGATGGACCAAGGCCTCAATGATAAGCTTGACCAGCTTCTAGCACTATTGGAAGCCCAACTCGAGCTCACCAGGCAAGGCCAATGAGAAGAGTGACTTCGCTGTGCTCACCTAAGAGGAGAAGAGACGATTGAGTTCTTGCAATCAGAAGATCAAGCAGGAGGAGATGAATCCATGCTAGGAGACCCTCAGACTCCTACACCAGCATCATGACCAAGATGATCGGTTTCGTTTGCTGCCATAGATGAGCAAGATGATGCTAATTACGAAAAGTATGCATCGCCCACCAGGCCAAGGTACTACAAACCCAGGGAGGATCCATATAGTAGGACTAGGACAGAACCTTATGCCTCATACTCGGAGGAGGATCCTAGTGTATTGGCAGATCTTTCTCAATCAAAGCCAATCGCCACACCTTTTCCTAAGTTTAATCTGCGAGATGTGGAGATATTCATTCTCGAAGCCGAAGCCTGGTTTAAGTTTAACCAGGTATATGAGCAAACAAGAATGATCAACCACATGGGCTCTCAATTGGAAGGGAATGCACAGGAGTGGTGGACCTCCAAGCTCCAAATTGACAGGGCATGTGAAGGAAGGTTATTCAATGATTGGCACTACTTTACAGAGCAGCTGTCAGAACAATTCAATCCCCGGAATGCTAGAATGGAAGCCTACAACAAGCTGTTGGCTCTCAAACTCTCTAGCGATTCACCCAGTGCTGCCACACGCCATGTGGAATGTTTCAGAGACTTGGAAGGACAAGTCAATCTGGATGATAACAAACTCATCATTGACTTGTTCAGAGGCAGTCTCACATGTAGTCTGCAAGAAAAGTTTGAGTGAAACCTGCCTGCAAAGAGGTGGGGATGGTACTGAGAGGTCGAAGATATCGACTGACAGAGGATGCTGCTACAGCAGTCCTCTGCTAGGCACCCAAGCGCTGCTCCTCCATGATTGAACCTGGGAATCCAACCAATGCCACCTGCTCAGAGCTCATTCCCCATTCAGCAACTGGCACAAAGAAACTCTGCTTGAATGCCAGCACCAATAACAGCCGGAAGCCTGAGCAGACCAACCAACTGGCTGCTACCTCAGCAGCATGTACCAGGCCTGAAACAAGGAGGCCCCACAGTACCAGGCAATAGCACCTGCCATATCTGCAAAGGCATCGGACATTGGGCCAGAGACTGTCCAAGCAAGAAGGCAGATCCTCTGGGCCCACGACCTTTGGGCCCAAGAGTCATGGTAACCATGGAAGACCCCTTTGAAGAAGGGGCCACCAACTCAGGGGATGGGCATACAGGCAGTGCTGAAACAAGCAACCCTGATGACCTAGACTTCAGTCAATACCAAGTTCCTAATGACATTAATCATGAGGAATCCCAAGATGATGACGACGAGGGAAACAACAGTGGGGTGATGCACTGATGGTGTGCATGGCTCTACAAACCTCCTCACCATCGTTGTGTATATATCAAGATTGCCAAATATGTTTCTCCACCAGCAAAGGAAAAGCAGTATTAGAGCTTACAGGAACAGTCCAAGACCATCCTGCTCATATACTCACCAACACTGGTGCTGGATTGTCCATAGTTTCAGATTCCTTTATCAGTAAGTACTTAATACCAACAAAACCCTCAAAAACAAGATCGATTCATGGTGTCACTGGACACCAGCTCGTTATCAATAGCGCCATGACTGTACAGGTGGTTATTGGCAAGCACAGCCTAGGTGTAGTCAAAGTATCGGTAGCCGATACCGCCAACTACAACCTTATATTGGGATTCACCGAGCTCAGAAGGCTCAAGCCCACTATATGATGGGACACAGGCCAACTAGAGTTCAAGTCCCAGGACCGAAAACAACCCCCTGAAGCCGCCGCAACTAGGGGCCTACAATCAAAAGCATCGAAATCGGTCATAGTAGCAGAACTGTCACAGAATTTGACGAAAGCTGCCACAACAGGCAAGCAAAAACAGGAGCTTGCCATAAGAGACAGCTTATCACCAATTTCAACGAAATCTGTGGTAATGGGCTCCTACGAAGAAAAAATGGCATGACCAACCATGCATGGAAATGAGTTCATCTCAGCGAAGCACTTACTTCAGGCAGTGTTAGAGGACAGACCCATAGGGTTCATGTTATTGGAAGTACCACCCTCATCACTCCCGGCCTTCGGTTTCATTCCTACCGGCACCGATAAAGGAGTAGAGATCGAGGTTGAGATCGAGAAGAAGGTGATGGCAGCAGATATACCAAAGCCATACCAACACCTTCATGATGTGTTCGATGAGGTGGAAGCAGACAGGCTTCCCCAGCATACTGAACATGATCTTCACCTTGAACTAATGGAAGGAAGTCAACTGCCTCAAGGCCTGTTGTATCTCAAAGGGCCGAAAGAAATGTCTGAATTGAGGAAGTATCTGGACGAGAACCTTGCAAAGGGGTTCATACAACCATCGAAGAGTCCAGCAAGGTCACCTGTGCTCTTCATACCTAAGAAAGATGGAGGTCTCAGACTTTGTGTGGACTATTGGGGACTCAATGAGATTACCATCAAGAACAGGGCTCCGTTGCCCCTCATCGAGGAGCAACTGTTTCTGCTCTGAAAGGCAAAGATCTATTCCAAACTAGATCTCCGAGCAGCATACAACCTCATTTGCATCATGAAAGGAGATGAATGGAAAACAGCGTTTGGTACACAATTGGGATTATACAAGTACCTTGTGATGCCATTCGGGTTAGCGAATGCACCAGCTCATTTCCAATCATTCATCAACATCATCTTCTGAGACATCATCGGAGTATATGTTGTTGTATACTTGGATGACTTCCTCATCTTTAGTGACATGGAGGAAGCACATGTGCAACATGTCACTGAAGTTCTCACCCATTTGAGAAACAATCAGCTGTTTGCTAAGCTGTCGAAGTGTGAGTTCCACACCATGACAGTAGAATTTCTAGGGTATATCATCAAACCCACAGGGGTAGAGATGGATCCTGAGAAAGTATGGACAGTCAAGGAGTGGCCAATGCCAGAATCAATCCATGATATCCAGAGATTCCTTGGCTTTGCCAACTTCTACAGGCAATTCATTGCCCACTTTGCTTGAATCGCCAAGCCACTAACATCACTGGTGAAACCAACTGAATGCTTCAGGAAGTTTGAGTTGCTGGAGGAAGCTCGACAAGCTTTCCACAAACTCATCCAAGCATTCATGATGGCTGGAGTACTTTGACACTTCAATTACCACCTTCCTACAAGGCTGGAAACAGATGCAAGCGATTTTGCCATCACTGGAGTGCTCAAACAAGAGCACAAGGGACATTGGCACCCAGTAGCATTTTATTCAAGGAAGATGTTGTTGGCTGAGAAAAACTACAAGATCCACGACAAGGAGCTCCTAGCAGTGGTTGCCTGCCTCACTCAGTGGTGACACATGCTAGCAGGACTTCCAAGTCAGTTAGTCATTCTCACAGATCACAAAGTGCTCAAGTACTTCAAGTCGCAACGTCGCATCACTGGCAGACAAGCAAGATGGGCAGTATTGTTAGCAGATTTCGACTTTGTGCTACAATATTGACCAGGAGACAAGGGTGGTGAACCCGATGCTCTCACCAGACAAGCTGATATGCAGCTGGTCAGTAAAGAGCAGGAGCATAATGTTCGACAACTATTGCCCCCCTGGGTGTTTGAACAAGTTGAAAACAAGATCACAACAGGGAGCAAGCTGCAGCAGATTTCAGCCGAAAATGTAATAGCAAGCATGATACCACCGATTTCAGCAGAATCGGTTCTAACTGCATGCTCAGGCAACAATTCCGTATTAGTGGCTCCCATCCTCACGATGGAGTCTATAGCCATGAAAGGAATCAAAGATCTGGCCAGAATCTTCCAGCCTCTGGATCCCGAGCTTCAGGAGATTCATCTAAGGAAGCCATTCGAGATCAGAGATGACTTATGGTATAGTGGCGGATGGTTGGTTATCCCCAAGGTAACAATGCCAGGGAGAACCAATGACCATTGTTTGCGAAGTGCCAAAGAAGTTGATGGACAGTTGTTGTCTGTAGAACACTTGCAATTCATGGTCATGTCTCAATGTCATGATGGCATCACAGCTGGACATGTGGGGCAAGATGCTACCATTAAGTCAGCCCAACGACACTATTGGTGGCCAAACATGTCAGCCTGGATTGCTGATTATGTCGCAAGTTGCCAAGTGTGTGCCAGATACAAGGCTCCTCGCCATCGCCCATATGGCTTGCTGCAGCCACTCGCTACTCTGGACAGACCATGGGGCTCTATATCCTTGGATTTTATTGAAGGATTACCACCATCAAAGGGATATGATTCAATCCTGGTCATTGTTGACAGATTGACCAAGTTTGCTATTCTGGCCCCTACATACAAAACAGTCACAGCGAAACAGACTGCTGTGCTACTATGGCGTTATCTGGTTAGACACTTCAGTTATCCAGATCACATGGTCTCGGACCGAGGCAGGCAGTTCATCTCGGGAGCATGGAAAGCATTTGCCAATCAAATGGGTATGAAACATTTGCTCAGCACTGCTTATCATCCTCAGATGGATGGGCAAATGGAAAGGGTCAATCAAGTAGTAGAGCAGTACCTTCGTATGTACTGCAACTATGAACAGAATGACTGGGCCGGCTTGCTCGACACTGCAGCATTTGTGTACAACAATACTGTACACAATAGCATCAGTGTCTTGCTGTTCTTTGCATGTTATGGATGGAACCTGAAAGCCCATCCTGACATTCCTCAACAACTAGGAGTGAACAACCCTGAATGTTCTGAATACTTGCTTGATGGTAAAGAGCACTGCAAGTATCTTCAAGAACAGATCAGGGAGGCACAGTGTCATACTGTCAATCATTATAACCGAAGACACAAGGACATAGAATTTAAGGTTGGCAACATGGTCTACATCAATCACAAGAATTGGAAGACCAGGCGACCCACACCAAAGCTGGACACCAGATTCACAGGACCTTATCTGGTACAAGAAAGGGTGGGCCAACGAGCCTATAGAATCACATTGCCAGCAACCCTCAGAGTTCATGATGTGTTCCATGTGTCCTTGCTTGAACCAGCAAGGAATAGTTCTATTCCTCAATGATCGACACAACCAATCATACCATCGCTACCAGACGAGGATCTTGACTTCGAAGTTGAAGCCATTGTCAGCAAGCGTTCACACAATGAGGTGACAGAATACAAGGTGCTTTGGAGGGGGTATCCAGAGGAGGCTGCCTCTTGGGAACCATTGTTGAATCTCAACTGTCCTGACCTCATCCGGGAGTATGAGGTTTCGGTGGGGGGACGAGGCTAACAAGCACGAGCACAAGGAGAAGGAGAAATTGGTAAGAAGAGGGTTAGAACCAATTTGAGTGAAAAATGTGAGAGGAGGGGAGTTGTTACAGACTACACAGAAATCTGTCACAGTACTAATGGTATGGCAGATTTCAGGAAGAGGACCTGAAAACTACTCTCACCATACAAGAGGAGGGTCAAGAGCATGGTACTCAACAGCCAGGCTCATAATCAACATCACAAGAGTCAGGCCACAGACTCAGTTCAGGAAACAAGGGCATCGACATTACAGAAGGAGACATGTTGCTACATGTTGACATAGGAAGAGGGAGGAGGAGGAGGGGCAAGTGACAAATGGATCACCAGTTCCTCCTCAGTAGGGGTGACCCACTTGTGAAGGAGGTCTGGGGGACCACCAGACTCCGTGACAGACTCGTGAGGCTGACACTCTGAGTACAGTTGGTCATGATGCTTGACATATAGCTGGAGTGTATGGAGGAGGGAACTTACCAATTCCTGTCAGTGTAAGTGCCACACAACCTGCATTGCAGCCACCCAGCCATGGGTCATCACTAGGTTGGTGGTTTGTTCATCTGACCAAACCAATCCAGGACCATATCCATCCGCTACAGTTAAGTGTGCACATTCTACCTGATGAGACCCACGAGGTTGCAAACTTGGAGTCCCATCACTGGTGTAATCCATGCCGGGATGAGCTGGGATGCTATGCTCGCAGTGACCCAACCTGGCTAGGTAACAGTGCATGCAGGCACAAGGGATTCGAGTATGTTCACCAAACGGGTTGGTAAATGCAGATGCAAAGCAGCTAAAACGAAGAAAGGAGATCATCAGTATTGGTTCAGAGTCGAAAGCAAAGTTTGAGAAGTGTGCTTACAGAATGCCTAAGTTGAAGCAGTGTCGACACTGCCAACTTGGCCATGGCATGCAACCCTCTGTGAGGCGAAGCATGACTAAACAGTGAAGACATTTAGCTGGTAAGGAACCAACCGGTATGTCCCAGTCTGGAGGGTAGTAATGGTCAGTGACCCAAGTCAAGAGCTCGGCTGTGACAAATTGTACTGACCACCCAGCAAGTTCACCATTGCTGGGAAGGTGGCAGTCTGGAGGAGGAGGAGGAGGGGTCCAACGAGCCACCCAGTGGGGAGGTGGAGTCAAAGGTTGGACCACCAGCCAATATACCAGAGTCTCAGGCTGAGGAGCCAACAGGATCATGTCAATCACCTCATCGGCAGCAGGGGGTGGAGTGGGAGACCAGGCCAATTCGGCCTCCCAAACTGCTTGGTGCTCTGGAGTTGTCATCTCTGGCGCAGCATGTCACGAGTCGACCTCGTACAGGTCGATGGCTGGAGAATCTGGGGAAGGGTCATTCCCCATGGGGTTGGGAACAATGGGAGCCAAGTATGGGGAAGGGAGGGGAGTGATGACTGCATTGTCATCCATCCCCAAGAAAAGAGGCTCCAATGGTGAACGAGCCACTGGAGAAGCCAAGGGAATGGCAGACGAAGGAGGAGACAGAGGAGTGGCTGTTGGAGCTGATTCCTCATGTGGACGTAGTCGAGGAACAATCCGATGACAACTGGAGGTGGGAGTAGCATCATTAGTGGAGGACCACGAACAAGTATTGTAATGAGAACTCATACTGATGATGAGTAGATGGAACAAGATGGTAGTATGACTTAGACATGGAGCAAAACATGCCTCGATGGAGCTCAGCTCTTAAGAGGGGGGTAATGTCACGGGCCTAAGCTGCACAGAGCGAGGGAAGGCCGAAATGATATGAAGGTAGCACAGGAATCATGGAATCGGGTAGATCGTAGGAGCTGTGACAGAGTTCACCAAGATCAGCAGTAGAATCTGCACTATGGCAGATCGCAGCGAAATTGGCACGAGCATTGTTGATATCACGAATCCCACCAGAATCTGTGACAAGCGAGACCATGTGGCAGATTCTGCGGAGATCGGTAGCAAGGATGTCCATATGACAATTCACACACAAGAGGGACCGAGCTCAGTGACACACAGACGGTTACCACTCAGGGGCCCACAAGACAGGAGTAAAAGAGAACTGTCACTGGTCAGAGGAAGGAGAGCTGTGTAAAGGACACTGGTGAGAGGGACATGAAGAGGAGGAGCAGTGTCGATGAAGTCAACACAGCTCAGGAAAGACAGGAGGGTCAAGGCTGGACCTGGAGGAGGTGTCTCCTGGGAGATCCCTGTGCAGTACTCGATGAAGAAGGAACTCTCTGGAGAAAAGGGAGCAGGAGCAGTGTCACTGGCAACGCTGCGAAGAGGTATATAGTCATACCTCCTTGTCACAAATGGTCAAGTGGATCCTCATCCACTCTACTCATCAAACAAACTAGTATTACTTCAAGCAATAAGTATCATTAGTTCACAGTCAGCATAGTAGTAATCAACAGATTGCTCTTCATCGAAGCACATGTGTGGTATCACCATTTCCTGATGTCCGAAGGCGGTTCGTAGCAAACCAGCAGTCCGGATAACAATAGAACCAAAGGCAGACAGCCACTGCAGCCTGGGGATCACTTCAAGCATTAGCCAACACACTGGACACTCGTGTCGGCATCATCAATCCATACTCACACCAGACCATTGGTGTCAACATCGAGCTCACTTAGAGTCATATCATAGTCTGATCATGCCGAGCTACCTCTGGATGGAGTGTCCACAGCAGTTAGTCGAAATCTGTCATAACAACAATACAACTACAGATTCTAATGAGAAAGGTGACAGAAAAGGCTCTGTCGCATATTTCACTAAGAATCGAAATACCATTAGTGCTGTCGCATAATTCAACAGAACCGGTGATAGTACTGATACTACTACTGATCTCAGGTTTCAGGCGCGCGACCGCTGACACTGTGACACTTCCCTTACGAGGTGTGTGTCAGGGGTCTCGCGCCTGAAACCCAGGTCGGTCTGTCGAGATACTCGGTGACTATCAAACTGTGCGACAGCTATTGTCTCGGTATCGGTGACTATCAAGTTGTGCAGTGACAGCAGGTGGCGTTTGTTGTATATACTATCATAGGTTTCGGCTGACCTCTGTGGACACTCCATTCAGGGGTAGCTCAGCACGATCAATATCAATGTTATGATGACACCAAGGTCTGGTGTGAGTGTTGATGATGATGAGGTTGATGGTGTGGGTGATGAGTTTGGTGATGTCGATGTTAATGAGGTTGATGGTGTTGGTGATAAGGTTGGTGGCGTCAACACGAGTGTCCAGTGTGTTGACTTGATGCTTGAAGTGATCCCCGGACCGCAGTGGACTACTGCCTTCGGTTCTATCTATATCTGGACTGCTAACCTGCTATGGGTGCCTTCGGACGTCAGGTAGTGGTGATACAACACACACACTACGATGAGGAGCAACCTTTGATGGATTGCTGCTATGCTGACTGAAACTAATATATACTTATGCTGAAGTGATAACTAGTTATGGTGAGTAGAGTGGATGAGGATCCACTCGACCTATGATGATGAGAAAGCATGGTTATATACCTCTACTCAGCATCGCCAGCGATGCTGCTCCTGCTCTCTCTCTCCAGAGAGTACCTTCTTCATCGAGTACTGCTCAGGGGCCTCTCCTGCTTGGCACCCCTGTGCCTCTTGAGCTGTGTCGACTCCTTCGACACTGCTCCTCCTCCTCATGACCTGATGTCAACCCTTCGACACTGCTCCTCCTCCTCATGACCTGGTGTCGACTCCTTCGACACTGCTCCTCCTCCTCATGACCTGGTGTCGACTCCTTCGACACTGCTCCTCCTCCTTTGATCAGTGACAGTTCCTTTGGCTCTTGTCTCTCGAGCCCCTGAGTGGTAACCATCTGCATGCTCCTTGAGTGTCACGAACCGGCCCTACGGTTGGCAATAACGACGAGGGCGAGACCGAGAGGAGAGGCAGAGAAGACTACCAGACTTCGGAAGGAGTAGACGAGAGAGTTGATTGCGAGAGTGACTTACGATCTCTTTTCCTTAAGGGAAAAGAGAGGAGAAGAAGGAAGGAGCAAATTATGAGATCGAAAGTACAAGACTCGATGCGACGAGTCTAAGACTCTTTTGCAGTGAAATGACGTGTCAATGTTAGATCTAGGAAATTACGCGAGGGGTCATGACCGAGTCATGACAGTATCCCCCCCTCAAAGAAAACGACGACAGGGGAGGAGTTTAGCAATGAGTAGGAGATGGGCGAGTGGGGTTGGCTGTATGGAAGTCAGCAAGCAGGTCGCTAGCATGGGTGAGATTGGAGGCAGGTTCCCAGGAGTTGTGGTCAGGCCCATATCCGACCCAGCGGACAAGGTAGAAAAGTGGGTCGCAGTAGCGATGATCGACCTTGCTATCGAGGATTTGTTCGACTTCATATTCCAAATCACTTTCGACTTCGACCGGGGGGGGTGGTGGCTGGACCCGATTTGGGATTGTGTTGGCGACATAGGGTTCCAAGCGGTCAACATGGAACACGTTATGGATCTTCATTGATGGGGGAAGCTGGAGGCGGTAGGCATGGGAGGAAATGACCTCGCTGACAGAGAAGGGTCCGAGGCGGCGGTAGTCGAGTTTCTTGGTGGGGCGGAGGGAGCAGATATTATCGGTAGACAGCCAAACTCTGTCGCCAGGCTGGAACTGAGGAGAGGGAAGGCGGTGTTTATCGAACTGTTCAGCTGATCGTCTGTTGGCTTTATCCAGCTCCCCACGAACATACTCATGGAGCTGCTTTAGCTGATCTGCGTACGAGCGGGCAGCAGGGAAAGGAGGCAAAGAGGCCGGATCAGTGTTGTCGAAGCTGAAGCGAGGATGGTACCCGTAGTTGGCGAAGAATGGGGTGAGTTGAGTTGATGCATGCTCAGCATTGTTGTAAGAAAACTCGGCCAATGGAAGTAGGTCACTCCAATTGGTCTGTAGGTGGTTTGAATACCCACGAAGGTACTGCTCAAGGACCTGGTTAACACGCTTGGTCTGTCCATCCGACTGGGGGTGATAAGCAGAGGAGAAGTGGTTTCCGATGCCAAGGAGAGCAGAGAGGGAGCGCCAAAAGTGGGATGTGAACTCGGAGCCTCGGTCCGACACGATGGAGGTGGGGAGACCATGTTTCGAGTATACATGGCACAGGAAAAGCTTGGCCAGTTCGGGAGCATCCAATGTGTTGGTAGTCGGAACAAAGGTTGCCATCTTTGTGAGGCGGTCAACCACAACGAGGATGGCAGTGAAGCCAGATGATGGGGGCAGTTGCTCGATGAGATCCATGGATATGGAAGACCATGGGTGAGGGGGAACTGGGAGGGATTTGAGGTGTCCGTAAGGCTTGTGCCGGGCAGCCTTGATGCGCCGACATGTCTCACAGGAATCAACAAAGGTGTGGACGAATTTGGACAAGCCCAGCCAGAAGAAGGACTGGCGAACAAGAGAAAGCGTCTTTCTGCGACCAGGATGCCCAACGGAAGGCGAGTTGTGTTGGTCTTGAATAATTAGGAGTCGGAGGTCATCAACATCAGGTACGCAGATTGAGTCCCGGTAGGTGAGAAGGTTCCTGGAATCGATCGCAAAACCAGGTGGTAGGGATCCAAGGTGGGCTTGCTCCAGGAGCGCTGAGGTCCAGGAGTCGCCGGAAAGGGCCTCCTGGATTTTGTCAGTAATGTCCGACTTTACTGTGAGGATGCCGGTAGCAGCAAGTCGGAGTTGATGAGGTTTGAGGAGGGCCTGAAAGTTGTTTGGGTTGTGCTCCTGCATCAGTGATGGGCCCTTGTCCCTGGGTCACATGTCGGAACGACGAGTGAGGGCATCCGGAAGACCAGCCTGTACACCAGGGCGGTATTGGATGACAAAGTCAAAATCAGAGAGGAGTTCTGACCAACGAGCTTGCCAACGGTTGAGTTGCTTGGTAGTAGTGAAGTACTCGAGACTGCGATGATCGGTGAGGACCTGCACAGGAAACTTGGCACCCTCAAGGTACTGGCGCCAGTGTTTGAAGGCTGCGACAATGGCAAACATCTCTTTATCAAAGATGGGATAATTGAGTTGTGCCGGATCAAGCTTCTTCGAAAAGAATGCGATGGGGTGTCTAGTGCCTTGATCAAATGACTGTGAAAGGACGGCAGCAACTGCAAAGTCCGATGCATCAGTTTCGACAATGATTGGCTGTGCAGGGTCGAAGTGATGCAAGATGGTGTCGGTGCTGAAGGAAGAGCGAAGCTGTTCAAAGGCATGTTGGGCTGCCTGGTTCCAGGCGAAAGGAGTGCTCTGGGCCTCCTTACGCAACAACTGTGTGAGAGGGTATGC